TGCAACTAACTGAACGCTGCTGGCGTCTTTATTTGTAAATAAAAACAGCTCTTTCTAAAGTAACAAAAACACAGCGATTCTTATTTTAAGAAGATTATACACTAATAAAAGCATACCTATAAATATTATTTTCCATTTCTGACAGTAGATCTTCCTAAATGTTACACACTGGACCTTTAACATTGCCCACCTTTTATTTTTGTATCTTAAATACATAATGGATGAATACATAATAGAGCACTGAAATTATTTCAAGGTGTACTTTTTTGCTCTTTTCATGTAACTAGGCTATCTGTACTGGAGTCTGTTTGCATATGGCATTAACTTGTGTCTCAGGTAATCCAATCACAGCACCTGTGTCTCCACATGCATCTTGAGTGGCCACTTGTGATCACATCTCACTGCCCCACTCTATATGCAAATAAACATGTACGTTATTCCTGTTAACAAAATATTGCTTTAACAACAGTGGTAGCCAACACGCTGGAAATTGTTTTGGGATGTTTGCCGAATTTTTATCAAAAAAGAATTTGTCGTAGACAGCGTTTTCTTTAAGGGAGTCTGGGGATATTGCAGTTACTAATTGATCAGTTAAAACACTGTTCACAAAAACCTGCTTACATATAATTTGCATTACAGTGAAACAAATAGAAAGCTGTTTTATGTGAGCATACAGGACGTCAGTTGAGTAGGTGGCCCTTTACTGTGGTCCAAGACGCATTAGGGCTTACACTACAAAAGATATGTGGTCAACTGCATCCCAGACCACCTCGGCAAGTGGTTTGAGCGATCGGCTCACAATGTGTCTTGGTGGTCGTTTACACTTGTATTTAGAACTGTCCACTTGTGATCTGATCACCCAGGATGCATGTTAATACCAGCTGTAAACAGATATGCTATCCATATTCTCATGTTTCCCTAGGTAAAACAGCAAACAAATATATTTCCCAAAATGCAGAAGCACATTACAATAACAGAAAAGACAGAAAAGCAACAAACACATTGAACATGCTGAAACAGCTAATGTATGGCCTGCTATAAATGACTTAAACCTATATATATAGTATTATATACATACATTTTCTTATGCAGCTGGTTAGAGAGACTTTAAGGATTCTGGAAATACTGTAAGGGCCCTGGTGCCCTTGGGGTTAAGGTGTCAGCCATGAATCGCAGCGTCCTTGGTTCTGCATAAAGCCGAAGACCTCTGTCACTTCTTTACTGAGGCTCTCTAATAAAAATATCAACTTTAAAATTAAGTTTAAACAAAACATGATATATTGCTCTGTGTCTGCTGAATGTGAAAGTAGGCTAACCATAAAAAGGTTAGCTAGTGATTTGTAGTGGCTCTGTCTCTTTTAGGTTGTTTTGGTGCTTTTTCTGCCCCC